CTCCCTCCCTCCCTCTCTCCCTCCCTCCTGTCTAGTTATGCTCTTTTTCATTGTAATTGCTAAGTGTCTTTAGGGAGATGACTTTGGGCTAGGTAACTGTTTTGTTTCTCAAGGTACTCAAGCCCAGTTTTCTGAGCTTGTTTATTTTTGTCTGAATCAGTTATTACTATGGTGCTTGCTAAGTTTAGACTATTGTCCATCATTTTACATTTAAAAAAGGATTTATTAGCCCAGCAGTAGTGGCACACACCTTTAAACCCAGTACTTGGGAGGTGGATCTCTGTGAGTTTGAGGCTAGCCTGGTCTGCAAAATGAGTTCTGGAACAGCCAGGGAAACTCTGTCTCAGAAAACAAAACAACAAAAACAAACAAACAAAAAAGATTTATTTATGTGTGTGTCTTGCTTTCATGGATGTTTATGCACTACATGCATGCCTGGTGCCTGTGGATATTAGAAGAGGGTGTTGGGTCCTTTTGGACCTGGAGTTATGGATCATTGTGAACTGCTATATTTGTGCTGGGAATTGAACCCAGGTCCTCTGCAAGCCCCATTCTACATTTACTAATATACTAGTCAAAAGACAAAATTAAAATAAATTTAAAGATCTAATTGGCTTATTTGTAATGCTAGAATTAACAGTCCTTCATTTTACAGAAAGACAAGTGTTTTCTTGAACTGAGAAGGAAATTGGTTTTATAGACAAAATGATTAAGGTCAGAAGAACCCTGGGAAAAGTAGGTTGGTTGTGTCAGAGCTACCTTTTTACATTGGTTAAAACAGGAAGGATCTCTTGTTATGCTGAGTTACCATGAGTTGGTCTGCTGGTGGCTAGTGTGGGAGCTTAGTTCAGTTATGAGCTATTCTTTCTGTGCCCACACTGTAAGGACATGGTTTCCCCATTACCCTTTTTAATATTTATAGTCAGTGATATTTGTTTTATCACTTAGGTTCCATCATTATTATTTAACTGCTCAAGCTGCTTCTTTCATTTGACTTGTCCTTTGGATATAATAATGTACACTTTCCCAAAACCCGAGGGTTTGTGGTTTTTTTTTTTTTGGAGGGGAGGTGTCTTTATTTATTAATTGTTTACTAATTTATATGTTAATTATAAATAATGGGTTTCATTGTGACACTGTCACCTACGTGTAGATGGTACATCGATCATGCTCATTTCCTATATCCTTGTTCATTCCCACTTCTGACTCTTTCTTCCCAACTGTTCCTCCTACCTTCACATCTTTTATTTCTAAATTTTATTTTTAAAAATTATTTGTATGAGTGTGTGCAATGTAGGGGTCAGAGGATAACTTTTGGGGGTTGGCTCTCTTCCACTGTGGTCCCCAGGATTAAATTCAGGTGTCAGACTTGGGCAAGTGCTTCTGTGAGCCATTTGCTGGCCTTATCCATGCATCCATGCATCCATCCATCCACCCACCCACCTATTCATCTATCCATCATTTATCCAGCTATCTATCTATGTAACCCAATGAATTTCACTAGAAATTGTTGTGTAAGGAACAAGGGTGAAGTGTGAGGGGCTCATGGGTCCCATGGACACCCTACCAGCCCGTTACACTAGTACACTTTGTCACTCACTGTGTAGACCAGGCTGGCTGTGGACTTTCGGTTGGGTCCTCTTGCCTCCTCTTCCTAATGCTGGGTTACAGATGTTGTGTCTTGCTGTGCTTTCTTTACATTCTTCTCTTCTTTCTCTCCTTCAGCTGTAGAGTAGAGCAGATTTCTTCATGGAGCCTTAATACTTTAATTGGAGGCTGAGATGAAACCAGGGGCTGGTGCTGGTGTGTTCCCATCTGAAAGATGAGCAAGGAAAATTGTATGTGTGTAGGTGCTTTGCCTGCCTGTATGTCTGCACCACATGTGTGCCTGGTGCCTATGGAGGTCAGAAGTGGGCCTTAGATCCTCTAGAACTGGAGTTTCAGATGGATGGAGCCACCATTTGGGTACTGGGACTGGACCTGGGTCCTCTAGAAGAGTAGCTAGTGCTTTTTGTTTGTTTGTTTGTTTGTTTTTTGTTTTTTCGAGACAGGGTTTCTCTGTGTAGTTTTGGTGCCTGTCCTGGATCTCGCTCTTTAGACTAGGCTGGCCTCGAACTCACAGAGATCCTCCTAGCTCTGCCTCCCAAGTGTTGGGATTAAAGGTGTGCGCCACCACCGCCCGGCTGTAGCTAGTGCTTTTAAACCTCCAAGCCACCTCTCCAGCCCTGTGGTTCTGCTTCTTTACACTAAAAAACCATTACGTTCATTTCCCCCTTCACGATTCCATCATCTGTTCCCCCTTAGGTCTTTTCCTATGGATTTAGAGTGTGAGTCTGAAAGCCCTGACTTGGCTTTAGGAGATTCCTGCATGTCAGTGGGCCTTATTTATTTGTTTGTTATATGTGCATACACATGAGGGTGCCGCAGTGTGTAGAAATCAGAGAGCAGCTTTCAGGAATCAGTTCTCTCCTTCCACCACATGGCTTCTGGGGATTAAACTGAGAATGTCCGGCTTGGTGGCCAGTGCCTTACCTGCTGAGTCAGCTGGAAGGCTTTGGACCTTATTTTTGTCATGTAAACAGAGTGACAACACTTAGGGTTTTAAATGATACCGTATGAGTAAAACTTGGAGAAGAGTCGGTCACACATGATTTAATCTCAGGAGTGATAAGTCCTGAGAAGTGCATGGTTAGGTGATTTAGCTGCTGTGCACACATCATGGTGCGCTCACACAGATGGCGGTGTGGTCCACTATTGCTCAGGATAACAAGCCTGCCCGTCATGCTGCTGTACTGAACACTGCAGACAGTTGTAACATCGTGGTGAATATCTATGTGTCTACATAGAGAAGGACAGCAAAAATAGGGAGTAAAAGATAAAAATGATGCGCCTCTTCCAGGCACTTGCCATGGAGAGACTGCAGGATTGGACGTTACTCTGTGTGAGCCCGTGAGAGTGGGGTGAACACGGGTGCATGTTTAACTGGGTGCTACTCTAGAGTTAGCACTGGCTTAGTTAGCTCTAGTTTCTCTTTCTTCCATAATGAAGGTCAGTATACCTTTTTTATTTCAAAAATTTGTTAACTTTTGACTAATGCAATAACACTTGGCTGGAAACACGAACACATTGTACTTAATATCATTGTACTTTATGTCTCCTGTTATCTTTCTTTGATATATATAGTTTTTAATTTACATTTTTTGTATGTGTAAAACTAACACATACCCATGTGTATATAGGATTAGGATATCAATATTACTGCCCTCCACCTCCATATCCTGTCCCCCCAGGTGGTCTTCAGGACATGGAGCTGTCACCTCCTTTGATGACAGTGCCTCCTCCTGAAAACCTGCCTGGGTTGAGTAGCTGTTTCTCCTTTTCGAGATCTGTCTGGAGGTTGCTGTCCGTGGAGGTTGCTGGCTCCCTTTCCATTTTCATAGTAGATACGCTCATAGCAGATGGTGTGCCATGAACATTCCTCTCAATTAGGGAAAAACTGGGGGCTGGGCCGTGTTTCCAGACGTCTTGAGGAGCTGTGGAGGCCTGCAGCCGCTTCCCCTACACCTCACAGCCAATTTTCTTGATCTTCTTGTTTTCTTGCCGCGGTTTCCTCTTCCCCTGCTGCTTTTCCAGGCCTGCGTCCTCTGAGTTCCGTTACAGCCGGGACCAGTGATACACATGTGTTCCTTTGTCAACAGAAACATCATCGTCTGCACAGCTGTGCTGCCTTTGCTTCTCGGACTCAGCCAATGTGGAAGAAGGAATAGACATGGTTTCCGAGTGTCAGCTGCCCCAGTGCCCCAAGCCCCTGCCCGCCCAGTCTCTGCTGGCTTGGGTTAGGTGTTCAGGACTTGGACTTCTTGCTGCTCTTTGTTCCCATGAGTTCTCGTGCAGTTCAATCGGAAAGGAGAAAGGAAGGCTTCTTCCTGGCCACCCACTAGTAGGAGTTTTCGAGTGGGTTTCGCTGTCCCCGAGTTAGTTAAATGAGCAGTTCTGATTCTGTCTGGGCACACTGTCTGAAAGCAAACCCCACTGCTCTGTGGGTGGAACTGCCGTGCCGTGCCGTGCCGTGCCGTGCCGTGCCGTGCCGTGCCTCGGGGAAGACTCTGCCTCCTCCCTTCCTCCTTTTCTGCCATATTGTTTTTAATTGACCCATTCTTCACTAGGGATGGGGTGCTGGTCCCTTAATAGCAGAACTGTCTGCTCTCTGGGATCTAGAGGAGGCCTCAGGCCTCTTTCTTCATTGCTGGGCTCTTGAATGCAGGGAAGGAAACGTACTTGGCCCCCTTCAGCCTTCAGTAGGTAGCCAAGCCCACCCATCATAGCCTAGATTACAGTCATCTCCCGGGGGCCAGTGCTCTTTCTGTGGCTGCAGGGGTCTGGAGCACAGGTGTGGGCTGGTCATGGACCCGCTCTTGAGGGTGTGGAACCTCGCGGTCCTGTAGCAGCTGTTTGCTGTGCTCTCCCCCACCCCTACCCCTGCTTGGCTCCTCCACAGAGCAGGGGCCTCTGTCCTGCAGCCCCTCTGTCCCCGTGCTTGCATTTCTCCTGCTGCTGCTGGTGTTGGCCGGTGCTGCAGCTGTGCGTTTCTCCTTCTGCTGCTGGTGCTGGCCAGTGCTGCAGCTGTGCATTTCTCCTTCTGCTGCTGGTGGTGGCCAGTGCTGCAGCTGTGCTGACCTCCTCGTCCTCCCTGGTCTGGGTGGACGGACACTGGCGGCTGCGTTTTCTACAGTGACTGCCCAGTGTTCTGCTGCGCCAGGCTGGCCTTGTGCGTGGGAATGGTTCTTTCTGCGGATGTTTTTCCAGCTTTCTTGTTCTCTAGTCTTGCAGCCTCTTTTCCAGCAGAGTTATGGGGGAATGGTGGCTAACTAGAGATGGTTATGAGAATTTGAGCATTTCTCTAGCAGTAAGTTTAAGGAAAATTAGAACAAAAAGAACTTGAAGTGTTCCCTGGAAATGGAGTGACTGATGTCTGCCTTGGCCTTAATGTACCCGTGTGCCTGCTTGGCTCACATGGCCCCTGGTACTCCTGTGCATATGAGGTCTCTCCCTGCCCCTGCATACCACCCCCTCCCCAACATAGATATTTGCAGTTACAATTGAATTTTTTAAAAATAAATGACATGTGTTTAAAATGACCATTGTGGCATGGTGTTATTAATGTGCTATAAAAACTTCAAAAGTACCTCAGCTTCCCAAATGGGTGCACATGCCTTTAATCCCAGCACTTGGGAGGCAGAGGCAGGTGGATCTCTGTGAGTTCAAGGCTTGCCTGGTCTCCATAGTTCCAGGATGGTCAGGGAAAGAAAGGAACAGCAACAGAAAAATAAACTTTCAAATAAAAAAATAAATAGTTCTTTTATTTTGTGTGAAGGTGCTTGCGTATCATTTTATGTATAGGAGTCATTGTCTTGGTCTTTTGTTCATTTTCTGTTCTACTCGTCTACTTCAGGTTTTAAGAGCTTACAGTATGAGAAGGGAAGGGATTAGAACTTCATGTGTAATGCTTATTTTAGTGTTTCTCTCAGTTTAGCCTTTTACTTTGCCCCCCACTTTTTTTTGCTAAACAAACATTTTCTTTAATGTTTAAAATGTTTATTATAAAACTGAATCTTTTTGGCATCTGAAAATTTGAATCATACTTAGCGTTTTTACTAATTTTTCCTATAAATTTTTCATATAACTGACCCATTTGCAATTTATTCTCTTATTGTGAAATATAAATTGAGTTTTATCTTTTTTCAAATGACTGCTAGGTTATCGTAACAACACTTATTATAAAACACGAGACTGTGTTTAAAAGAAGACTCCTGCCAGGTAGGAGTTCGAGGCCAGCCTGGTCTACAGAGCGAGTTCCAGGACAGCCAGGGCTACACAGAGGAACCATGTCTCAGAAAACCGAACAACAACAGAAGAGAAGGCTTTGGCAGTGCCCAGGGGAGAGGTATTGGCTGAGACTTTAAATTGCCTGAATGTGGGGACCTGGCTGAGGTGCCATGAGGACGTGAAGTCCACGGTGTTTCCTGTGTTCTCAGGTTGAACTGGGGAAGTGTAGGTGGTGGTGCTCCTACCCTGAGGGCCCCTTCACTTCCCTATTGGTGCTGGGGTGCTGGTCTCTGCAGCTACTATTTAGCACTAGAGGCAGCTGGTCACTGTCTTGTGTGCCTGTGCCTAAAAAGTATCTGAGCCTGTGTCAGGGCACGAGGCCGGGAAGAGCTTTTTGTACATAGAGGGAAGTCCCTAAGACTTGTCATTTTACAGGTTTCTTTTAGAAAGTGTTCTAGATGACTGCTAAAGTCCTTTGTTAATTCTGTGAGAATGATGTTTGTATAGAACATTGGTGCTTCATGGAATAGAAGAGTTCTGACCTTTGAACTTTCTCCAATCTGGGTTTAGACAATGTCTCATTCCTATTCCTCAGGGCACTATGTTGTTGCCACAGCCCTTGCCCTTACCGAGAATTCAAGACTGTGGCCTGGGCCATTGGAGGCATTGGCAGAACTTTGTGGATAAGTGGGTTGTTGTGGATTTGGTTTTGTTTTTTTGTTTTTTTTTCTTTTTCTGGTGGCTACTGTGGGATTCCCGGAGAAGCCATGTTGCCATGCTAGAGTGCCCTTCCTAACCTTAATGTCCTGTGTGTGAGTTTCAGACCTCTAACAGTATCTCAGAGAGGGCAAGAGCTCCAAGCTTCCATTTATGTAAAATACAAAACTAGTTTGTTTGCACTCTAAACTCTACTGTCTTCCCTGGCTAACTCACTGCTTCCTCCTTATGGCAAATAGTATTGTCCTGAAGTGAAAATATGATACTGTTTATCTGCATACTCCTAGAGTACAATCTTGTACATGTGTGTACACATGTATGAAGAAGATTCAAGAGACATCAGGCCTGTTTTTCGTTGTAGAAATACCAGTGGCCCTAATGAGGTAATTACTGTTTCAGATAGGAACTGCACGTGAAGCCTGGTGGAGTCCTGATGGACAGACTAGGGGTGCATGCATGGGTGATTGGTTTTCAGTAAAGGCTCAAATCAGACAGATTTGCATAGTAGCTGTTATTCTTGTAAAACTCAGAGTATAATAAAGCCATGCAAAAAAGAATTGGGGTTTCATCTAGAACTGAGTTAGAGTCTAGTTCAGATGCACTGAGAATAAGTCTCTGCCTCACTGAGTGTGATGAGCGTGTAAAGGTGGGGGGTTTCTAGCCACGCTCTGCCCAGTGACTGGATGAGGAGGCATGATGTCCTCACCATCCCAAAGTCACCCAGTACTAGTCCATCCATCCCAATAGTCACAGATGTTGTCTCTCTTCATTTGTGTTTGAAAATCAGAACACAAATTTACTTTATGATTTCTTTCTTTTTTCTTTCTTTCTTTTTTCTTTTCAAGACAGGATGTCTCTATGTAGCACTGGCAATCCTGGAACTCTCTCTGTAGACCAGGCTGGCTTCGAACTCACTGGCTGAGTGTTGGGATTAAAGGCATGCACCACCGCTGCCCAGCGACTTTCTGATTTCCTAATTCAGTGAAAAGTTAAACTAATATATTGGTCACTGTTCTTTTCTCCCCTTTCCTGGGATGAGACAGGTCTCACCAGCCCAGGCAGCTCTGCAGTTTACTGTGCTATCCAGGTTGGCTTTGAACTCATGGTGATCCTTCTATCTCAGCCCACTAAGTGCTGGGATTAGAGCTGTGAGTCAGCAAATGTGGCTTAATATTTTCTCATTTAGGAATTTTTCTGGAGACATTTATTAGGGAGATTTTTTAGGATACACTGTGTGTGTCCAGCCATTTGTCGTGGTAGTTTTATAAACAGACACTGATGACTGGATGTCACTAGGACCCTAGAAGTTAGGTGCTTTGTGGGAAATCTCATGACGTGTGCTTGTAAGCAAAATGTGTCTAGCTCTTTAACTGAGTTATTTAAAATATACTCAGAGGTGGGCAGGTCGTGGACCTCTCCCTTTGTATGTGTGTAAGAGAGGCAAGTGTGTACATATGTTCCTGATAGTCCCTATTAGAGCAAGGGAAGGTGTCTGAGTTCTAATATAGCATTCATGTGTTATATTTGTAGAATACCACAGACTAGCTCCTTGGGGAGGCCACCTGTGTTCAGAGACCATCTGCTTGCACAGCTGAATCATCTGAGCTCTGATTTTGTTTACTGTGGAGCGAGGCACTTGGATGCTGTTCCATTACCACCTGTCCATCTCAACTGTGGACAGCTTTCACATGGCCCTCGGTCACGGCTTGGCTCCCAGACTCCTCTCTTCCTTTGCTTTCTCCCTTGGCTGTGTCTGAGCTATGGACACAATACATGTTTCGTGGTTAGAGGTAGGGTCATTTCTCCTTGCCTTTGGAGCCCTTCCAGAGGCTCTGTGATCTCAGTGGCAAGGCCTGGGTTGCTGTGCCTGTCTGGCCGTCTTACTTAGAGCTGGGAGCTTTTTAGTACTTGGATACAGCATTCCTTGATGGGTGGGAAATCGATATTGTTTGTTAGCATAACTCCAGCATCAAGAAGCTTAGGATGATTTGAAGCAGGCTCCTCCTTTTTGAAGAGAAGATTTCTTAGTGTTCAGGCTTCTCATGCCATCTCCTCCAGAGTGTTGAATAACTTTGATGTGCAGGTTCCATCTAGGAGATACACGTCACAGCAGGAGATGCTTGCTGGGCTTATAGCTCAGGTATAGATAGCTTTGACAAGCAGTGCTCCAGTGTGGTGAATGTACCAGTCCACGGGATGTCGTTCTTCTTGGTCCAGGGAATGCCTGTGCTGCCTTTTTATGAATTCAGGAAGCCAGAAGAAAGGAGGAAGAGACATTTGAAATGTATGTGACTTAGAAGAGTAGAATCTGGAGGGAGCATTGGAGATGAGGAGAATTGGGTCCATGCCAGTTCTCTAGTCTGTTTTGTAGGGCCACTTAAAACACTGGAAGTAGTCGGGCGGTGGTGGCGCACGCCTTTAATCCTAGCACTCAGGAGGCAGAGCCAGTCGGATCTCTGTGAGTTCGAGGCCAGCCTGGGCTACAGAATGAGTTCCAGGACAGGCGCAAAGCTACACAGAGAAACCCTGTCTGGAAAAACAACAACAACAACAACAAAATTGGAAGTAGAAAAGAATGATGGTTCAGGTCAACTAAGATGACTCAGAGATTTTTCTAGTGGAGGAAAATCAAATTTTCTTAATGCAAATTTTTCAAAAAAATCATAATGACAAAGGAAGTGAGTAGGATAGAATTAATTTCCTTGGAACCATATTTCATGTACTTGTGGAACTGAGACTAGGTGTGACTTCACCCTGTCAAGTTAAAGCAATTGATCTTTCTTACTTTTATGTTCCTCTTTGTCATCTTATTTCGTCTTCTTCTAGGTACTGGGTTCTCTTTTCCACTGGTAAAATAGAGTTGTGGATAGGTTTAAAGGCCAGGTGATTTAAAACCCCAGATATGGGCTAAAGAGATGGTCAAGAGCCCTGGTTGCTCTTCCAGAGGACCCAGGTTCAATTCCCAGCACCCACAGCTGTCTGTCACTTCAGTTCCAGGAGATCTAACTCCCTCCCTTTTGGCCTCAGGGCATCAAGTGTGCACATGGTACACAGAAATATATGGAGACAAAACACTGATGCACATAAAATAATAATAATAAAAAATAAAAGCCCTTTAAACCCCAGATGTAGTTCATGATGAAAAATGTCTTTTCTTGGCTAGGAGATAGCTTTGGTGTTGGTAAGAGTTATAGATGCTGATGGTTTTTAGGAAGGGCCTATGGTGTAGTCTGGCACCTTTTTAGCAGAGTCTTGGAGTGACCGTCTGCTTCCTGGTATTGCAGTGGAACACATTGCTGACTGCCTTTTTTCTGATCTTTCCTGAGTTGGCCAAGTCTAGGTCATAATAGGTAATGAGTACCTTCAAATTTTAAATAGTTATGATATTTGTGGCTTAATTTGTTTCTCTCTTTTTTTTCGGAGACAGGGTTTCTCTGTGTAGTTTTGGTGCCTGTCCTGGATCTCACTCTGTTGACCAGGCTGGCTTCAAACTCACAGAGATCTGCCTGCCTCTGCCTCCTGAGTGCTGGAATTAAAGGTGTGTGCCACCACTGCCCGACTCTTATCTCTTTACTTACAGGAAGAGTTATATTTTGTGCAGTGGTTTACTATTAGTATTTCCTACTTAATAAAATTGATGTGTACCTCAATATTGCCCTTCTATGGTTTTAGAAATAAAACTTTACATATTTTCTTATTTATTGCTTTTCTTCTATTTAGTTGACTATCCTCTCTTAAATAATTTACTTTATGTTAGACTTTAGAAATTTTTCTTTCCCTCAATATTGTAAGATAAATGTACCATTCCCTTGTCCACAGAAGGGTCATTACTGTTCTTCAATGTTGCTTGATTTTTTTTTTTTTATTTTTAATTATGTATATGTTTGTGTGTCTGTGCACATGAGTACAGTGCCTGAGGAAGCCAGAAGGGGGTGTTGGATCCCTTGAAGGTAGATTGGTTAGGAGCTGTCCAATGTGGGTGCTAGGAGTCAAACTGAGGTTCTCTGGAAGAAGAGCAAATGCTCTTAATTCTCTAGCCCCTAACAAGGTGTTACCTTTTTCTTCCTCTTTGCTTCTCCCCATGCTGGGGATTGAACCCAGGACCTTTTAGACAGAAACTCTACCACTGATCCACACCCATCTTCTTGATTTCTTTAAGATGCATTTCACTCTGACCCAGTGAAGTTGTGTATCATGTTCCTTAGAAACTAATTGATAATATGTTAAAATAGTATATTAAGCCGGGCGGTGGTGGCGCACGCCTTTAATCCCAGCACTCGGGAGGCAGAGCCAGGCGGATCTCTGTGAGTTCGAGGCCAGCCTGGGCTACCAAGTGAGTCCCAGGAAAGGCGCAAAGCTACACAGAGAAACCCTGTCTCGAAAAAAACAAAACCAAAACAAAACAAAACAAAAAAACAGTATATTAACTTGAACAATATACAGTTAGTCTTCCGCTCATTAAATAGTCCTATTAAACACAGTTGTAGCATGCTGCTGGGGGCTTCCCCCACCACCACCCAACTCCCATTCAATTTAGTCACAGAAAGTTACTGTGGAGGATTACATACAAATCTCATGTGTGCTGAGTTCCATTAAAAGCCAGATAGTTAATGTTGATGTTGCTTTAATGAATGTTGTCTTTCCCAGAAAGTGTTATACCTAGGTAACAGGAAAACAGTTGTTTAATTAGTCATAAAAATAATAATAGCAGGTTTTAGAAAATATGGGAAATAGAGAAGATTATTCAAATTGCATTGGTATTAGTATCTTGTTGAATTTCCTCTATTTAAAAATGTATTTATTTCTTTTAAGAAATATTTATGTATTTAAATTTTGTGTATGTCTGTGCACCATGGTGCGTGGAGGTCAGAAGAGATGTTAGATCCCCTGGAACTGGAGTTAACAGAAGATTGTGAGCCACCACGTGGATGCTGGAAACTAAACCCGGTCCTCTGTAAGAGCAGTAAGTGCTCTTAACCAAAGAGTCATCATCCAGGCCTCTTGTATCTAACATCAGAAAATACTTGCTACTGTGACAAGTGAATTAGAGAATGTGAAAAGGAAAGGCCTTGCTTGGCCCTACGAATCCTATAGTGATGGTGGCACACCCTGGGGTATGTCCTCATGTTCTCCTTCAGGTTCACACCCATACACAACCCTCACCACAAATGCATCCGTGTGTACAATATTACAAAATTTGAGATATAATTCAGATACCTTAACGTTTACCTTTCCTCATGAGCTGTTTAGGGCATATTTACAAGGGTATACAAGCATCACTACTATTACTAATTCCAGAACACTTTTGTTATTCTAGAACTTCATGCATAGAAATTCCTCAGCTCTAGATGCTTAATAGGTCAGCTGGTTCTCATGTTTCATATGGATGGACCATTGAAAACCTTTTTATTACACTTTATTTATTTATGTGTGTACGTGGCATGTGGCGTGGCACATACGTAGAGGTCAGAGGACAACCTATAGGAGTCAGGTTTCTTCTTCCACCATGTGGGGCCAAGGGATCAAAGGTCATTGATTGGCTCTTGGCTGAAAGGGTCTTTACCTGCTCAGCCATCTCCCTGGCCTCATGAATGGAATCTTGAATTTTTTTCTTTTAATACTAATTTTTGTGTATGTGTCCATATGAGTGTATGCCCCATGTGTATGGGTGCCTGTGAAGGTCAGTAGAGGGCAGCAGATCCCCAGGAACTGAAGTGATAGGTGGCTGTGAGCTGCTGCCTGGTATGGGTGCTGGGAATTGGACTCAGGTCCTCTGCAAGAGCAACAGACGGGCTTGGCTGCTGAGCCGGCTCCGTAAATTTTTAAAATTTAAAAATTACTTTTTACTCTGTGAGAGAGGGAGAGGGAGTGGAGAGAGAGAGAGAGAGAGAGAGAGAGAGAGAGAGAGAGAGAGAGAGAGAGAGAGAATGAGAATGAATGTGTGTGTATGTGCAGGCATGTGCTTTTATGTATATGGCTGTGTGTTATGGAATGTATGTGGAGGTCAAGAGGACAACTTGTGGGAATTGATTCTCCCACCTTTGTGTGACCTGGGGCTGACTAGTCAGTCTCACTGTGGGGCTGAGGCATCCTCTGACCTGGGATTACAGTTGCACCCACCACACTCAGCTTGTTAAGTGCTTTTAAATGTAAAGCCTCACAGAGAGCACAAGAATGAACTGCTGTCCCCATATTCTAAGTCGTCGTCTCTCTTTTGATCACCTTGTGGAAGGGGGATCTAAGTTTTTGCATCTGTTCTCCATCAGACAAGTCATCAGTCACCAAGGCCAGCCTTCCCCACCGAGCTTTGTCACTGTCCCATCCTCCTCCTGACTTTTGTGACTGAGGCCTTCTCAAGACTCCTTCAGATCTCTCATGGAGAGCACCCAAAGCTACAGTTTTAGGGACAGTAGTTAAAGCCCTTTAAAAAAAAAAATCTGTGTGTGTGTGTGTGTGTGTGTGTGTGTGTGTGTGTGTGTGTCTGTGTGTCTGTGTCTGTGTGTCTGTGTGTCTGTGTCAAGGCTGTCTTGACCCTGGTTCTTATTTACTCCTGGACCATGGCATAGGCTGGCATTGCTGCCCTTCCAGTGATACTTCCCTTTGAACCTTTCTCCCACAGTACGTTTTGATTCTGTTGATATGATTATGCCGAAGGTATGTAGTGTTCTTCCTTTCAGGGTAGGTCTTGTTAGCTAGCAACGATAACACCATGGCTTCTTTTCCTCTTCCTGTCTATTCCCTTTGTCCATTTTCTTTTCAACCCCCCTCACCTCAGCTCTACTTTCTTCCTCCTCTCTCAGTCATGGTCTAGCCCAGTCTGTCTCTTGAATTTGTTATGTACCTGAGAAGAACCTTGAATTCCTGTTCTTCCTGCTCTCACCTCCCAAGTGCTAGAATTACAGATGTGTACCACCACACCTGGCTGTTTCCTTATGTACTAAGCTGCATGCCTTTAGAATGTAACTTGATGAGTTCTGTTTCGTGAACATGCCCATGATGTTTTTTGATGTTCCCTCTCTGGCAAGCCTCAGCCTTGATCTTGCCCTGAGCTACTGTTGATCTCTTCTCTCTCATGAAGCTTAATTTATATTTTCTAGAATTATATGGGTGGAATCATATGGGATTCATTTAAAAATAATTCTTTATGCCAGATGTGGTGGTACATGTTTGTAATCCACAAATTCAGCTTGAGAGGCTAAAGCAGTAGCCTCAGTTGTATAAGAAACCTTGTCCTCCCCCAGCCCCATCAAACTTTTTCAAAAATTGTGAGAGCATTGGAGAGAAGGCTCAGCAGTTAAGAGCACTTGCTTTTCTTGCAGAGGACCTGGATTTGCTTCCCACACCCACATGGTGGCTCACAACTTTCTATAACTCTCCAGTTCCTGGGGATCCAACATGCTTTTATGACTTCCGAGGTTATCAGGCATACCTGTGCTACACATAGCTTACATGCAGACAAAAAATACACATAAGATAAAAATAATTCATTTACTGCTTTTTGTCCTCTTTCCCCCACTAATCTACTCCTAATCTAGGTTTGTGGTGGCTAATCTTTGCTCTATTTTATTATGTTATTATTTTGGTTTCTCTGTGTAATAGCCCTAGCTATCCTGGAACCCACTTTGTAGATCATGCTTGCCTCAAACTCATAGAAACCCACCTGCCTCTGCCTCCCAAGTTCTAGGATTAAAGACCTACACCACTACCACCTGGCTTTATTTTATTATTTTAATTTACTTATTTTTATGTGTATGAATTACATGTATGTATGTACAACACATGAGTGCCTGGTGGTTGAGGAGACTAAAAGATGGTATTGGATCCTTTGGAACTGGAATTGCAGACAGTTATAAGCCACCATGTAGATTTTGGGAGCTAAGCCCAGTTTCTTTGCAAGAGTAGCAAGTGCTCTTAATCTCCAACGTGTCTCTCTAGCCCCTTTATCTCATTTATGTATTTATGTATTTATTTAGTGTGTGTGTGTGTGTGTGTGTGTGTGTGTGTGTGTGTGTGAATGTGAATGTGAATGTGAATGTGAATGTGAATATGAATGTGCACATGTAGGTATGTAGGTGAAGGTGCCTGTGGACACCAGAAAAGTGCACGAAGTCCCCTGGAGCTGGAGCTCTCTGAATGCTGAGAACTCAACTCAGGCCCTAGGCCAGAGCAGCCAGTTAACACTGTTACTGATCTTTTTCTCGTGATGGCTAATCTTGATTGTCAACTTGACTGGATTGAAGTCACCTAGAGAATTGGTATGTCTGTCAGTGTGTTTCCATGAGGGTTTGACCTGAATCTGTTGAGGGACTGGCAGTGTGAGTAGTCTGCGGTGGTTGCTGGAGCTGGAAGATGGGTCTCACTGGAAGAAGTGGGCCCCTGGGAATGCTTGTGGGGTATCAGTTTCCCTTCTGATACACTCTTGCTTCCTGGCTGCCAGGGAGGAATAGCTGTGCCTTACCATGCCCTTTAACCATGCTTTTCTACCTTACCACGTGCCAAAAACAATACAGGCAGCCAACAGTGAACTGTATCCATCTGGTTGCATCCTCTGCAAACAGATGCCAAAATAAATATCTCCTTCTTTGAAATTGTTTTTCTCAGGTATTTGTCCAGAGTGGTAAAAGTTTGATTACCACAGGGTTGTTGGCTTGGCTGTTGCCAATAAAGCTGCCAGGGAACATCTGTCTGTAAGTGTCAGTGGGGACACATGCTTTGTTACAATCTAGGAATGAAGGGTTTGTCACCAGTCACTGTCCACTGGAGTGTCGGGGCTCATTGGCTCCTCGTCTTCATCAGCATTTGATGTTCAGTTCTTTTTTAAATTTTAGATATTCTCATAGGTATAGGCATGTCATTGTGGTTTGAAATTGCATTTCCCTAATAAGCAATGATGGTGCAGTTCTTTATGCCTTCTTTGGTGAAGTGTTCAGATCTCTTGTCTATTTTTAAAAATTGAATTGTTCATTTTCTTACTAAGTTGAGAGTTCTCTGTATTCCTGGATATGTATACTTTATTAGATATGTAGTTTGCAGATGTTTTTTCAGTCTTTGAATTGTCTTTTTTGTCTCTTAAAGTTGCCTTTTTATTTAGGGCTGGAGGAACTGGGATCAAACCCAAGACCTTGCACATGTGAAACCTGTGCCATATCCCAGCCACAACATTACCTTTAGAAAATGGAGGCCTTTGGTCTTTATTTTATGTGCATGGTCATGTCCCGTCCTGCGCCGCCCCCCCCCCCCCCCCCAGGGTTTCTCTGTGTAGTTTTGGAGCCTGTCCTGGACTAGCTCTATAGCCCAGGCTGGCCTCGAACTCACAGAGATCCGCCTGCCTCTGCCTCCCCAGTGCTGGGATTAAAGGCAGCACCACCACTGCCCGGCTGTGCACGGGTGTTTTACCTGCATGTATGTCTGTGCATCAAGTGCATGCTTGGTATCCATGGAGGTCAGAAGAGGATGTCAGATACTCTGGAACTGGACTCACAGATGGTTGCAAGCTGCCATATGGGTTCTGTGAATCAAACCTGGGTCTCTGGAAGAGCAGCTGGTGCTCTTAACCTCTGAGTCAAACTCCAGCTCCAACAAGACTTTTTTTTGGGTGGGGGGGGTTTCTCTGTATAACAGCTCTGGCTGTCCTGGAACTCCCTTTGAGGACCAGGCTAGCCTCAGCTAAGACAGATTTGTCTGCCTCTGCCTCCGAGTGCTGAGATTAAAGGCGTACTCCAAACAAGACTTTTGATGGTGTCTAGAATGGCAATTTCTCCTCCTCCTCCTCCTCCTCTTTTTTTTTTTT